AAAAAAGAAGAAGAAACGTTTCACTTCATATAGAGGAAGCCAGTCAACAAAGTCATGCCATTCTAAGGGTAGAAAGTGGTAAAATGCTTACATAGCAATAAATAAATCCATATTGACTATTTTTCCTATGGGATTAATTTTTACTTTAAATACTATTGAACAAATACAATACAAGGAGTAAGGGTGACATTGCAGTCTCTTGCAATCAAACACCATCCATGGCAGTCTCTTGTATTCATTGACCTAGTTTTCCATCAAAACAAATGCTAATGATTCCTGGATCTGACAACACCCGTATCTTAATTCTTCACTAGCCTAAAATGTCAGACAAACAAATCTTTATATAAGGTTTATAATTTTGATATGTACCGATGTATCGATTAGGTATCGGTATGATATGTACCGAGGTGTACTGACGATACATAGGGATGTACCAATGATACAGCCAAAATCATCAAAAATAGCTTCAAGAATATCTAAAAAATTAAAAAAATATATATTAGGATTTTTAAGTTAAAAATAAATATAATTTTAGTATAATTTGAACATAAATAATGTAAATTAGGAAATAATAGTGACATCTTTTTTGAGCTTTGAGGAGTAGCTTTACGATACGTTTTGAATCGTCCTCCCATTAATATTTAATTATCTATAAAGAAATAATTTGATTGTTAGATTATTTTTTAAATAACTTAAATTTTAAGATTCAAATGAATTAAGTAATTAATCAACGAATATATCTGGTTCTACCACTAAAAAGAACGCTGAGACTCCACGAACAATGTATTGGGGTCCTTGATCCTATATATCTGTATATTAATCTGATATGTTTGTCGGACTCAATCTTAAAATTGATCCCATGACATAGTGTACTGATACACCATATGCCATCAGTGCAACAATGTGATGATGGTCGTAATCTGATCGTCGTGAACCACATGTCCAAAGCTATCGATACAAGGTGTAGTCTAATCGTTGTAATCGATCAGGGTGTCACAAGCTAATAGAGTTAAAAAGATCGACAGAGCAAAATGAATTGAAAGAGGAAGAAAAATGTTTAAAAACCCTTTTCTAAGCCTTCAACGATTAATTTGACTATTTGAAATAGAGAAATCTCAACCCTTGATTAGTAAAGGTCAAAACTTGACCGTTACCAACTGGCATAAGTCGGTAATGATCGGATTTCCGAACGATAATGATCGGATTTCAACCATTATCGCTCGACAAAAATATTGTATCGTTCGTTACAAGGTCATGTGATGATATCACCTGGTAAAGGACGATCCTCGTACCGATATCTCATCGAACTAGTATGTATCTCAGTATTAAGTGATACATGTTGGCACAGCAAACCCTATATTTATGTTAATAAATATTTTTTGATTTTCACACAAGCTGACAATTGAAAGGTGGTCAGTCTTAACGAAGAAACCAATTATGTTAAGCTAGTCAGAATTACTTGATATTAGAGCAAATTGGATGAAGCGGACATAAGAAGCAACGGATGGAGCACAAGATTCACAATAACGACTAAAGTCAACCAGAATAATGGATAGAGAAGAGTAAATATGTTTAATACAAAATGAAAGAAAAATTATAAAAGTCAGGATGATTCAAAATGGGATGTTTTCCTAAACTGAAAAGATAATTCAAACAGGAATGTTATGTGCTCTTAATAAGTTATATCAGAACGATACTAAACCATTATCCTGAATCTTCTGCTAGGGTTCAGGAGACTAAGCCACATCACAGATGCATATTATTTTTTCTCCGTGTGGTAGATCCATTGGTGATTAAGGGAGGGGCTATATACCTTCAGATGCATATTATTTTTTTCTCCGTGTGACATATCCATCTTATCTTTTTCTGTGTGTGACTGATCCATTCTCGATTATAAGGAAAGAGCTACATACATTCCGAAATAAAAAAACTAAAGCATCAGAGTGATAGATGTAGCTCAAAGATGACCAACAAATGAGTGAAGCAAATTAAGTCACAAGTACATGATATGATCAAAAATTCTAATGGAAAAAAGACAACGTAAAATTTTTTGCTTCATAAGACAAAACCAAATGCAACCGAAAATAAATACAAAAATTAGAATGACACATAATTTGAGTAGAAGTGTTATCCATATGACTAGCAAAAAAGTGGGTAGAAGTCTCCATATGACTTAGAAAAAAGTGGCCAATTGGATAGAAGTCTCCACATGACTAAGAGAGAGGTGGTCCTAATGACAAGGATTTCTTGTGTTTCTGGATAAGAATCACCATGTTGAATTCTTTTCTATGAATTGACAGTTTTGACTGAATACACCCTTCTGTCCTCATGATATGCTCATCCCGTGATGCACAAATAATGTTAAAAGTTTCTATCTAATTTGTTTACCTTTTGCTACATATAGTTTGACTATATCGTACCAAGAGTTGAAGAAGGATTCAGTCAAAAGCCAAGTCTTAATCTATTGAGAAAGCTCACTTTCTTGCCTTCTACACATAAAAATATTATTTAGAACCAACAAAATCCATCCATCCCATTCACTCCATGCCACAATCCATCATGTCATCACTCTTACCTCCATATACGTTCTATATATAATCCAAGTCCAAGAGACTGCACTTGCATCTTCAACAGAGATCACTCAACCACAATTAGCTTAGTCTGCCACATTTTAAGCATCATATTGCTTTGATGCCCACAAAAGATGTAGTTAGAACTTACAAGTAAATTGGATTTTCATGATGGAATAAAGAAAAGGCAAGTGATGCCTGTATATCGTAATGCGGACGTAGAGCCATCTTTTCTAAGCCGAGATACAATTTGTTAAATCGTGCATGTTAATTAACATTAAAGAACATGTATCAACTGAGTCCTCTAGTAAATTTTCTGTCAGCCAACTTTATAAGATAGTTAAACATGAGGACATATCATCCCCACACATCTCCCTCATCAAGAAGACAAAACATGAATTTTGCACTCGATGTGCGAGATCAGGAGGTCAAGTGTCATCCTCTTTGCGATTGTCATTGATTTATCATGTTTGTGTTCAAGGTTCTCTTGATGACATAAAATATATACCTAATCCTAACTTCTTACACAATCCCCTAATAAAAGCCATGAATTAGTCGTCTAACAGATATCAAGTGTGTCACACTACAAAGGTATAACTACACAACTTGGTGGAAAACATTAGCGACAAGGAAGTTACGAAGAGCTGTCTCATTACCTTAAGCAAAAGGAGAACTTTCTGGGAGCGAGTAGCTGAGACCACAGAAACCAGAACCTCCACTGCGTGAACCTAAAAGCAGACAAGTCTTTTCCTCAACTTGCTTCTCTACCAAACACTGGTATAGAACGTCGACCATGGAACGAAATCCGACTTCCAGCGAGAGAATGGAGGACCACGTCAATGGTGGTTTTGATGCAGGAGCGAAGCAAATTTTAACTGAAGCAACTAATGAGCAACAAAGAGACAAGAATCAATATCAAATGAAAAAGAGACAGCATCGTATGAGAAGCTGATACAACTCAAATAAATAAGAGAAAGATATTTATGTGGATAGCAAGAGAATACCAAGTGGAGATAAGTGACCTGATAGCTCCAAAGTGAGAGGTGCTGCATCCACTGGTCAAACAGAAAGAAATCCGGTCAAACAGAAAAAAGCAAGGAATGTAAAGAAAGATCAAGGTAGCCTTAGCTCACCATGGAGTCATGGTTGAGGAAATAGTAATCTTACCTACACGATTATTACAGTTGATCTACGCCCAAGAAGAACGCAACGAATTCTTGAGGGTTTGAGCATGGATCTTGACGAAGACTAGAAAGGAAAAGAGGAAGAAAGCGGAGAAGGAAAGGAGAGAGAAGACAATAGGCATATGGATGGATCATGTACTTCGCCCTTATCCGAAACAATCGTCTCAAAAGTCACGCTTCCATGATCCATAAGTTCCAGTCTCTCCAAGTCTGAAATAGACCCAAAACTAGTAGTAGTAGCAGTACTTGGGAAACCAAGCAGAACTAGTCAAGACAGCATCGAAGTTCGAGGAGGAGGAGGAGGAAAAGGAAAAGCCTGCCTCGCACGAGCGTCCAATCAGATCCACCATCGATATACCCACGCAAGGTTGCCTCTTTCACCAAATCGCATCATCGTCACCGTCATCAACCCTCATCACACAAGATCAAAGAAGCAAGGAAAGAAGAAAAAGGGTAAAGGAGAGCGGATTTCTCTCATCCGGCACCGCCAGGGAGAAAGGGATGACAGAGAGAGACGTGAGCACGCAACAGCGACGGCATCCCGGCGACACCCACGCCGCTGTGTGCTCACTCTCTTCTGTCAAGTAGATCACCCCGGACGACGCCGGAATCGATGCATATAATAACAAAGCCCACATAGTCTAGATTGGAGGAGGAGAATGAAAAGAAACCAAGCAGAAGAAGAGCGGCTCGCGCGTCCACCACCCAAGGCTGCCTCCGCCCTCGCTCTCTCGTCTCCCACTCATCTCATCACCTGATCCAATTCTCCAATTCTAGGGTTAACTCCGCTCCCGACTCTTGGCTCACACGTGTCTGCGCTTCCCGTGACGACAGAAGAACACGTATAGGAACGGAGAAGGGAAAAAACTATGAGGACTCCACCCGCATAATAAATCATATGCGACCGTTGTATCTGCCACTCGTTCCGTGACCGCAGCCCGATCACGGTAGTCGAAGGGTGTCAATCAATGCCCGCTCCATCTGAGAGGGAACCGTGACGGGCCCACCACTGCCGGCGCTCGTGATTGGAGGCAGTTAGGACATCCGGAGACGTGTCGTCGCCTTCGCGTCGCCGTACGAGACCGGGAATTTCTTGTGTTCCACTGGGGCTATGTACGGTCCTGATCGACGCACTGTAGCGTGATGGACAAAGCAAGTCCTCTTACCTCCTTGTTCCACCGGTCACGCATACCTGACCTGTTATTGGATCCAACCATAGGGTCCCACATCCCTCTTACCTCGAGCGATTAGATTGGCGAAGGTAATGTCTCGTTGATTAGACTCCAAAGGCTAATTAGTCTACAGCCTGTTGACATCATTGACCTGGTCAACGAAACTTTGGGTGTATGCTCGAAAGATGAGCGCTGTTAATTGCTAGTGAAGATGACATTTGAGGTGGTGACATGAGAATCCATTGTGGATGCGGCTCAACCAAGTAACTTTGTATTCCTCATGTCATTGACGTTTTACCTCTTCATTTGACCTTATAAGCTTTGCACCATGGTGGAGTCATCGCTTCCTCTTTGACTTTGTAAGCTTTTTTTTGCACATGGCACAATAGCAACTAATTCCTTTGATGAGATCAAATGACCTTTTAAATACTCTCTCATGAAAATTATATATATATATATATATATATATATATAAGTATT